AAAGACCACTCGTGTTCCAAACGAAATCAAAAAGTTGGTTTCAGACATTTGATTGAGCAACAGATAATCAGAGGAAAAAATTGTGGATTTCACTTACCAATACTAAAACATGAACTTCTTCCTCCTGAACACGGTACAAAGATTTAAAGACCACTCGTGTTCCAAACGAAATCAAAAAGTTGGTTTCAGACATTTGATTGAGCAACAGATAATCAGAGGTAAAAAAAATATAAAAAAACATCAGAGGAAAAAATTGTGGATTTCACTTACCAATACTAAAACATGAACTTCTTCCTCCTGAACACGGTAAAGAAACCACACTCCACAATTCAACTCTACACCCCGAAAAACCATCCTCCTATTCCCACAAATTATTATTACTGTTATTTCTCTGAAGGCAAATATATGACTATAAATGAGTTGAATAGAATTAATATAATATTGTTATATTATAGAATAGAATTATTATAGTATAGAATTGTCTTCATACTGCAAAATCAGCACAGAGGTCATGTCTGCATACCAAAAAATGGTGTTTACACAGACCGTTTAATTCAGCCCACGAACCACTGTCACTGAAAATAAAAGTATAACATGCTGAATATTTTTTTCATGCAAACTTTTGAACAGTATTGCACATAAAAATACATTTAAAACATAATTGAGGTATGATAGTGTACATTTTTAAATAACACCTTGTTACTTATAACACATTACAAATAGTCATGGCACTTCAGAATGAAACCAAAACAAAAAAGCGTTTTTCCCATTGATGGATTTCCCATTCCCAGTGATGTTCTTTACCTGAGGGGAATCATGTACTTTCTAACTTTTTGACACAAACCACAAAACCCACTGAATATCACATAGCTGAAGAAAAACTTTGAATATCAATTTATTTCAGAAATAGTACGGCCTGACACTAAGGAATAAGTGAGATACAAAGACAAAAGAGAGAGCGAGTGAGTGAGAAATGATGCCATAGGATTAAAAGCTAATAGCCAGGGGTGCTTGTCCTGTTTGATTTGCTCTTAGTACAAAATGTTTTCACACAGTAAAACCGCCACATCACCACAGGTGTTGGCACAATGCTGTGATTGCCCTTGACAAGAGAAAACATCGGAAAGGCTCCAAAACAAGGAAACTTTGAAAGACAAGGTCACAACTTTGCTTGACATCAAAGGTTAATCCAAGAAGTTTTTTAATCAGAGAAATAAAAGGGGGAAAAAAACAACAATCAAACAGCAAGTTTATTCGGCATCCTTGAGACATCACCTTCACCCAAAGAGAATGATGGCTCTTTTGTGTTTTATATTTTTCAGTTCATGTTTCTTGGACAATGGTTAAGATTTAAATGAGAACTGCTGCGAGGGAATCTACTGGTATAGATCCAAAGCTCAAATAACGAATGGGCGGCATGACTCTAGACTTAAAGAGAAAGAGTGTGTGCGATCGAAACAGCAGAAAACAGCTCAAAAAGTTCTCAAAAAGCATGTGATGTAACTACAATGCTGTCTAGCAGGAAGTGCATTCACAATGTGTGCCAATATCTGCTTTAGACTCATATGTCTTCTCCAACACACGCTCCTTATATACATACTTTTATCCTAACGGCATATCTTGTTTGCATCACTTGTTCTCCATGATGTATATTTCATTTGTGCAGGCAGTCTTTGCTGTAATTCCCTCCATCCTTTGCTCTTGCTTAGTTTGCAGCTTCACTGCTATGTAAGCACTCTCAAACGCACACTGTGCCCACAGCAGCAGGTCTCCAACTGTCACTTCTCTTGCTCCACAGTCGTTCACACTCTCTATCCGTCATCTGGTGAAGGTCTTAAGCCCGACAGTTGCACCAAACACCATCTTGCACAAAAAAAAAAAAACGAGGGAGTCATCGCTTTTAAATCCAGCAAAAAGAGCATCAATGAAAATGGTATGTTTGCCAGAGATCTGACATGCACTTGCTGGCTGCTCAATTATAACCTTTGGGCTGATACATAAAATTCTGCTGATGGGCTCGCTGGAGCAAGAGTAGCACATGAGGTACAGTAACACCAATGTTTCTGTGATTTAGCAGTTAGTGCACATGGTCCTGACATGTTGAGCTGTGGCGGTCATGTTGGGAATGTGGGTTTGATTCCAGCCCTCTTCAAACCTTTTCTACTTCTCATCTACGTTTGAGTTCAACTTTCAACTTCTTAAAAGAAAAGAGAAAAGAAACTAAAATGCAACCTTTCTTTTTCTGTGTAAAGTTATATTCAACTTCTTCCCCATGAAAAAGTAATACCAACTAACACTGAAATGACTGTAAAATTATGATTTAACAGCTCAAATGATACAATTGTAATATAATATGATATAATATTTTAATATATAATTTTAACAGAACAAATGAAAGTGTTGCTGTAAAATCCTCCAAAAAAATAAATAAAATAAATTTGATTTTTTTTTTCTTGATTGAACTTGATTTTTATGTGCCTCACAGTAACCTCGATTTTTGCTTTTTTTAAAAGAAAACAAGGGATAAGACAATTATTTTTTGTTGCCATAAACATTACACCACACATGTTGTCAACTAAACTTAGCTTGTATTGAACCCGGAATATTCCTATAATACTTTTTACTAAATTTATTCCACAGCTCTGTGGAATTCTTAACTCCAATTACACATTAAAAAAATCTGATCGCAAAATGACGATAATCTGCAGGTCTTGCATCACATTAAAAGTATATTATGTATACTTGCTGATTGCACATTATAATACATCTATTCTCACACAATGCTCGTTAATTGTGAGTAGTGATTTGATTTAATCAGATTAACAGTATAAATGTGTACTACAGTACTGTTATTAGCAAAGGCCAGTGAAAAGCAGAGCACTAAAGGCAGGCTGGGAGCAGAAACATTGTGCTGTGTCATTTGAAGCTGCTTGAGTAGGCCACATTTTGACACTCAAGGAATCAGCGGAGTGCTCCAGCAGTGACCGTGCTGTTCCTGACCGTCTGAGAGGTGTTACAGTCTGAGATGTGGTTTCTGTGGGATTTATTACCACAGTGATGTGTGTCCTCAACTTTCACAATGCAGTAAAATGCAGCCAGCATTCTCCATCACTCTCCACCTTAAACCTGAACCAAGAAGGTCTATAAAACCTGGAGAAAGCGAACTGCTGGCATTTCTATTCATCTCAATATCAGTTGCTAGGCTGCCGCAGGACTCCTCGGACATACACAACCTTCTTGCTGCCATCTTTGCTCAAGGACACTCAGTTTTGGGCAAAGAATTGCTTAGGCCAATCACCTGAGCCATAAATATCACAAACTGGACTGGCTAATGATACAAACAAACAAAGTCTCAAAACCTTCACTAGTGACTATCCTGAGCTGTTATGTGAAAGTTAACAGAGAGGGAAGAATATCCTAAAAAAAAAAAAAAATCAATTCCACACCCACTACGCTCAAATATGCCTATTTCCGTACTATACAGTATGTGAAGACACACAGCATGTTAGAAAAACACGCAGTATTCATAATATGGATAGTCTTCAGTGTCATATGATCCTTCAGAAATCATTCTAATATGCCAATTTGGTGCTCACAAACATTTCTTATTATTATCAATGAAAAAAAACAGTTGTGCTGCTTAATATTTTTGTAGACACTTTGATATAGGATTCTTTGATGAATAGACAGCTCAAAAGAACAGCACTTATTTCAAATTGATTTTTTTTGGTAACATTATAAATGTCTTTGCTGTCACTTTCAACCAATTTAATGCATCCTTGCTGAATAAAAGTATTAACTTATTATTATTATTTTTAATCTTACTGACCCCAAAACTTTGAATGGTAGGGTATACTTCATAGAGCATTCCTTTTTTCTATAAGTTTGTTCTTCATTAAATGCAGCACATACTCTGTCAGTATTGGCCACTTAGAACACATTTACCTAAAATATAATGAAATATTAGCGATATATAAGTTGTTAGCAAAAAAACAACTTCATCAATGAAGAAATACGCATGTTGACGACATCAACCAGCAGCAGCCAAGGAACCATGCTAACCAGTAAAATCTTGACCCGCTGGTCTCAACAGATGTAAGAGAATGTGTAGGAGTTGGACCACCTATCATTGTATCTGTAAAAGATGCATAAGAATCCAAGATCTTAGCGATCATCTTGTCGGTTTGTATGTCCGTGATATGTCACCATTATCAGTAGAGTGTCGTATGGGCTGCCAACACACTAGTGCAGGAGTACTGAGTAGGTGAGACACTGAACGGGGGACAGGAGAGAGAAAGGGGACTCTTGGGTGAAGGACTGGAGGACAAGAGATTTCAGGAGTCTTTGATTAGTCCAGCAGTGTCAGGATAAACCTACAAGACACCAAAAGCGACAAGAGAAAGAAGGAAGACAGAGACAGTTGGTCGGAGTGACAGGCAGACTTGGGAAAGAACAGCATGGTCACTTCATCTGCCACTACCTATGGAGGAAGAGAAAGTTGAGGGAGAAAAAAGGCAAGAACCACATTCAAATGCATATGCCAGTTCTCCCCCTTTCTGGTTAGTCTCGGCAGCTTCACGTCTGACTGAAGACTCCAGCAAATGACTTGATGGGTGCCAATCCACTGTCAACAGCCATATAGCTGCCCCACATCACTGCACCAAAGCGAGCACGGATCAAATTTGTTATACCTCCAAAAAATGTTGCCTAATGACTCCTTCTCGCAGCCTGGGTCGCACGCTCTTCGCCCAACCGCCGGAACATTCCTGGCGATGCGAGAAGAACATGTTTTAAACCCGAGCCTGATGAGGGCGGAAGGCCGGCAATATGTTTTTCATGATGCCTGTGAATAGGCAATGAGGAACAGGCGAGCTGAGCGACGTGTCTCATGTGTGTGTGCATAACCTCGGACAGGCGAAAGAGGAACGGGCTATCCTAGAGCCAGCGATTACCCGATCCATCGTGTTCCATTAAGTTTAAACAAGCGCTCACATGCAACTTCAGCACTGGGCTGAGCTGTCCGGGACAGCGTATCTGCACAAGGCTGAGATAATGGCATCTGTCGCTGTTCCTTTAGTCACAGTCGACCCAGTGCTGCCCATTAGCCAGCTGCTGGCTGACTGCCCCAGCTCGACACGCTCTGATGGCCCAACACAAAAAAATTCAGGATCTGACCGGCGCTCCTGTCTCGCTCCTTACTTCCCATTTTTTCCCTCCCCCCATTCCTACTGTCATGACTAGAGGCTGTCTGGTGTTGGATTTTGTTGGCAAAGCAGCACTCTAATAAAAGAGGGCCCTGACAGTGCTGAGGTATGACTACTGCTTCCCTCTGATCCATACCAGGGTAGGACAGGCCAGCAGATCAGGTCCCTAATTCACAATCAGAGCGCTGCTCCTGTAAGACAGATCTCTCCTCACAGGACATCTCGCTCGGATCGTGGAGCTGCCAGACAGCACTGTCTTGATGTAAAAAATAACCAGCACCTGGTGAAATGGCAACCGGAGCGGTTTCCTCAAGTCACGTCGCTTTGTTTAGCAAGAACCGAGCCTCGTTTCATCTGCTTCAGAATGCACACCTACAGTGGCACAAGATAAAAGGGAATGCGCAGCTGACAAATGTCTATCAAATGTCTATCCACTCCAGTGTGGCACTTTCTAAACTTAGCATAACATCAGACCTAGCCATCAGAAAAGTTCCAGACACTTTGGTGTGAGGACTGTAGCACAATCACGTCAACACTGCAGTTGGGAAGAGGTGTGGAGCGGTAAGAGTTCCCAATTATTAGCCAAGTTTGGTCATTAACGTCTAGGAGAGAAGGGGGGTGTGCAGCCGCGTCAGTTTTGATAAAGTAAAGCAATTTCAGCCACTGCTATTCAGCCAAATTACAGTTGTACATCATGTTGGTTTCGCGCTCATTGTACAAGTGCGTGATGTTAACATTTCATTAGCATGTTGGTCGCCACCGAAAGGGTAAGAGAGACAAGACAAACAATAACTAGGCAAAGAGAGAGAGAAACACAGTCATTCAGGTCTAATTCATAAGCATTGGCGACATCTAGTGGACAGAAAACGGCATTACCAAGTGATGTGCTTCAGACACGTTTTATTGACAATATTTATTGCTTATACATTTAACATTTATATTTTCTGAATATTACAGTGCTTTCAAAGATATTAACAAATCAACTTTGACCTTCTATGAAAAAATAACTATACAAAAATTTACAATGGTAGGCTAACTACAGTTGGCAGTTTAACAACTGTGTTAACTTGGTACAATACAACATTGGAATAAAAAATAATTTTAAAAAGGACAGAACTGATCAATTCTAAAAGCCTCTTTTTTTTGACGGCAACCCATATTAATGTATTATGGTATTACAGTAGCCTAATAATAAAAATTGTAGTAATGGGTTTTTGTTAAATGTGAGCCAAAATCATCCCAATTAAAAGAACCAAAGACTTAAACTACTTCAGTCTGTGTGCATTGAATTTATTTAATACACGAGTTTCACAATTTGAGTTGAATTACTGAAATAAATGAACTTTTCCATGACATTCTAATTTATTGAGATGCACCTGTACAACATAGCTATACAAAGTTAATACATTATAATATAATTCAAAATAATTAGATATACAGTGAGACAAGTAACAATGTCTGACTTAATGAGCTAATCCAGACATTAAGATTATAAGTAAATAACAACTTAAACATAATTATATTATACATATTATGCTTATATTCAGTACTTCAGAACAATTGTACATGTGATATTGCTTTAATAAAACCATAAACTGTAAAGTAATTAGGCCCAATTGTCCTTTGGAGGAAATTGTGGTTATTGTTGTAAATTAACAAGGCATCCCTTACTCTTAATGCTTGTTTCTATTTGTTGTAGCCTATAAAAAAATATGGTGGATACATTTCCTTTTTTATCATTATTTTGATGCACATAAAATTCCTTACATCTAAACCTGACTCTTAATTAACCAGAATTGTTTAATTATTCACCTACGAGCTGCATGAGGAGTTTCTTGTTTTGACCAAAAATTCTAAAGTGGCCAGGCCAGTAGCCATTTAAAGGATTAATGCAACATGTTTACAAGAAATTAGAAGCTTAATGAAGCGGACAGAAATGCTGTCAGTGTTTTATTGCCAGTAAATTGCGTAGATGTGGAGGTCTCGTAATGAGTCGTGACAATAGCTGCGAGGCGTATCTGCTTTTAATGGCTTCTTGTGAAATTACTGCGTTATTCAAGGTCGTATTTAACAAGAGTGCTCGAGTAATGTGCCATAGCCAATAGTGTTAGCCTTCTCATAAAACTGAATTAAGCTTCAACACTCAGAAAAATAGAAAGATCACCTAAATTATCATTAGACTGCTATTTACATTGTTGGCTTATATGTTTAACGAGGCGTTTTAGTACTTTTTCATAAGGACCAAAAATGTAGGAAACAAAATATAAAGGATGTTTAACTTGAGGTATAAATGAGTACCTCAGCACCAGCACAGCATATAGCCTATTGCTATTTCTGCCATATAAAGTTGTGGTAGTGGTAAGAGTAATGTGAGATAGTATGATATTCCCAATTCAGCCCATGTGTTTTAGTTGGGACAATTTAATTGAAGTACTCTGGCGCCCCCAACTGTCAAAAAAAGTGGGAAAGTTAAAAAAATCCGTTTAGAATGAAACGAGGCTAACCTGTTCTTTAGTTCACTTAAAACTGTTATGATACACCATTAATCGAGCTCTTTAATTGATGGATTGTCTTAATCATGAGCATAGCACTAAAGGTAGCCTACAGTTTAAGCAAAAATCAACTGTCATTTACTCACTCACCCTCATGTCGCTCCAGACTTGACAAAATAGTAGGCTATATAAAAATATCAGAAAAATATTGTAGTAGTAGTGGTGCTTAAGTCGCTTGCTATATTCCCAATTTCTGAGATAGCTTTTTCTGTCAAAATGTCAGATATTTAAGCTGTTATTTTATTTATTAATTGTTAATCTTCCACACTACGTCTGTGGCTGCTCTGGAGGCAGTAGATTGAACTAAAACCGGATCATTCCGATCCGATATGTGAATGAATCATCCAGACCGACTGTGTGAACTGGAAAAGATTTGGCTCAAGTGATGTGAAGTTCGGATCATTTTACCGACTCGGACCCGAATCTTTTTTCGAGTCATTTGAGCAAAATACACACGTTGCATAATGCCCTGCAGGGTTTGATATGAGATCTTACAGCATAGAGAGGATAATAAAACGTGCATGAGCATGACTGAATCAGAGATGGAAAATGAATAAGCCATTTCCACTACAGCAACAACAACAACACTATACAGTATATTCTTCATAATGACAATAATGGAGTGACCAAAGAGGAAATGGAACTTTATTAAGGTGCAAATATCATTTAAACAGCATGGCCTATCTAGAAGCGTTAAGAGTCTTGAGGTAGAGACACATACAGATATAAAGATGTTGAGAAGGTTCTCCAGCGTGGGAAGCTGAGGGATGAGCTTCTGGACAACTTTACTGAAGGCCTCAAAGATGGAGTGATCATATATACTAGTCAAATAGAAACTATAGAGGACAGAAATAAAGGCATTCGATTAGACATATCTAAGAGATTTGGTACAGCTCATACACCTAATTCTTATTTTACCCGTTATTAGCACGGTGGTCCAAACAGCACATAATGCTTTTCTTTTTTTTTTCGGGTGTCATTATGGCCACATTTACACAGTGAACCAATTAAGTTTTTTTTTCTTCCATTATCTGGCACAGATCAAACCTTGTTGCACACGTGTAAACAGTAAAACTATTCAAACCAAATTGCAGGGTAGCTAAAGAAACGTTTCTCAGGACTAAACACTCACTCCTGACAACTGCAATATCACATGGATATGTGTGAGTGGCAAACAGTTCAATGCACTTCTTGATCAAACTGCCCATCTTAGTAGGGTATTCATGTAAAAACAGTGTTATAGACTACACATTTGGGAGACAAACACTGCAGTGTAAACAGATCTGCTGCCCAATGAACAGAAATGTTACAAAGACCAAAAAAAGGAAACCAAAATCTGGCAGAACAAAAGTGGCATAAAGGCTCTGCAGTGTTTGACAGCAGCCTTTAACATAATAAAATATCCTCTAATATCGAACTGGTCTAATGTGCAAATATAATGAGCAACTTGTATGAAATGACAGTTGGTGCCAATTATGAAAGATGACAAAACTGAGAAACTGCAGTGCGAGTAATTCTAATATTCACATTCATTTGAGGATTATATTATTAAGGTTAATTCTGAATAAATGAGGCAGCAGCACACATTATCCTGTCCTACTTAAAAAAAACAATTCATTCATATTACCAGGGTTGTGTTAGCTATGAAAACCACAGAGATATCTGAAACTGCTGATCACAGTATGCAGAACATGCCAAGTATTCATGAAATTCACGCTTGCTGTTGTCCACGAGGCACTGACCACTCAAGCCTCCTTGAACCATACACTCATACTGCTGTACTGAACAGAGCTGAAGGAAAACAAGCTGCTGGCTTTTAAGGCTTCAGCACGTAAATAATGCATTTGTGTAAGCGTTAATACATAGAAAGGCTGGGCACAAGATGCTAAAATCCAAATATTCATATTGGTTCCCAAAAACTATAGTAACCTAAACAGCAACCAGAAATTATGCTTTTTCACTTTTTCAACCTTTCGGACAACTAAAACGTTTAAAAAGGTTTCACACTTTTATATGTAACAAAAAATATTTATTTGAGGTGATCAAAGACGCCATAGCTAGATTGATACAGACAAATAATGCAAATGTAAATGCAAATATTTTCAGATAATGCACCATTGAGCACACACACACTCCTAGATCAGAGATTTGAGAGCTGCATATTCATCTTTACATTTGGTAAAAAGTACCAGGAGATTCTAATGCATTAGTGAAGAAAGCAGAAAAAAACATGTAATCGGATTCAGCCATAAGTGGCACTCTATTTAAAATCTGACCAAATTAATTTTGCAAATGTCTATAATTGCTGAGATTTAACACAGAGCTCATGAAAAACACTAATATCACCATTTCCTTAGAGAACCACTTTTTGACATCAATCCATTATCAAGTCAACAAAAGAGTGGCTCTGATTTAACACAGTTTCTCTGCTTTTAGTGATGTAAAATAGACAAACCCAGAGACAAATATCAATCAGACTTCAGAAATGAATTTTCCTCATATTCACAAATTAATTAGCTGTTCTAAATATCATTAAGAACATAACATTAAAAAAATACCAATTATAATAATTTTTTTTTTAATCACTACACATCTACATCAGAGCAGGATTTCTGTTCTATCTTCTCAAATCGCATAAATAGTAATACATATTATGGGCCAAGAAGTATTTCAATCAATAAACAGCATTCGAAAATAAAAATGCAAATGTTTACCTGAGATGTAGTTTCTCTAAACTGGCGTCTGCCAGGTCATCGTTAGCCCTCTGGTGTATATCCCGCTGGGTCTCAATCTTATGGTCATCAGACAAGCCGTCTACTTTATGGATGAACACTTCAAAGTTGATCTCTGGGTTGACCCTGTAGGCGCGTGATACTGTTAGGTGGAGTCGACCAAGGGCCTCCACATAGTCATCCTGTGATACAGAGGAAGAATGCAAGATGGTATGATTTGCCAATGTACAATGTAGAGGTTGGCCAGGTTTAGAGAAAATGCTGTACTTGAGGTTACCAAACAAATTGTAAATTGCAATTTAAAGGGGTCATATGATGCGATTTCAAGTTTTCCTTTCTCTTTGGAGTGTTACAAACTCTTGGTGCATAAAGAAGATCTGTAAATTTGCAAAGACTAAAGTCTCAAATCCAAAGAGATATTCTTTATCAAAGTTAAGACTCTGCCACGCCCCCCTAAAATGGCTCGTTCTAACACGCCCCCACATATCTACCTCACTATGTGGAAATATTAGCATAATGCGGCCAAATGTGCACGCAAAGAAAGAAGGCGTGGTTTCAGTAAGCGCAGTTAGTGTTGATGCAGCCATGTCAGGGAGACACTGTGTGTTTCTAGGTGAAAGCAAAAGCACTTTATTTGGCCTTCCGAAAGTAGATGCATTTAGGAATCTTTAAGATTACTTACAACAGAACAGCAATGCATTTTATGGACGACCGTTTCGTGAATCTATGAGAGGAGGTAATTCTGACTTTGCTATGACAATCTGGCACTTCTGAATCAGCTACCGTTTTGTTATTGGTTTAAGTATTTGCTATTGACTGTTCAAATGCGGAGTTTTGCGCATCATGTGTGTGTGTGCACACGTGTGTGTGTGTGTGTGTGTGTGTGAGAGAGAGAGAGAGAGCGAGAGAGACAGGGTCACATCACAGTGGAGTCAGCTGTCTTAACCGTGGCTTGTGTACTGCAAACACATCCCAGCTTCATCACTGTGTCTGTCACGTGACTGTCTGTTCCCCTTTCGGGCTCTGTCAGTGTCTTTACATTTATTTTGAAAGATGAAGCTCGCGATTATGGTAAGGGGCGTTACATTTCCGACGAGTGCTTGCGGTGTTCGGCCAATCACAATGCACTGGGTCAGCTGGCCAATCAGAGCAGACTGCGCTTGTCGGAAGGAGGGACTTTGTAGAAAACAAAGCGTTTGAGAGAAGCGGGGCATAGAGGACCTACAATAATGTACAGTATTTGAAAAATAATGTGTTTTTTGAACATTAAAGCATGTCAACATATTCTGTTACACCAAATAATGATCTTTAAAAAAAGCATCATATGACCCCTTTAACAAATTTATAAAACATAACTATACACATAAATGATGCAAGAATATTTCTTCAAATAGCAGAAATTTAACAGCTCTTCTTGTTTGTTTGTTTGTTTGTGTGTGTGTGTGTGTGATATCACACACTGCTGTAGTTGAGACTTCAACTGGTAAAAGGGTTTACAAATCTGCAATCTAATCGACCATACTTTAAATAACTTTCAGCTAGAAGTAAGACTGAAGGGCTGAGACAAAACAGCACGAACTGCCCTGTATCAGCAGAAACACAAAGTCAATCTTGTACCTATTTTTACTTTAGGCCAATGTGATCCAATAAGCTAAGCCTCAATGACAAACAACATTCAATTAAATAAAACCAGAATTTCTGAACTCCATGCCAAGATTTAAATAAACCAACTATTTACAACCATTAAAGGGACAGTTCACCCAAAAATGAAGATATTAGAAGAATGTGGTTAAACAAATAGTTTCTGGTCCCCATTGAGTTCCATAATATTTGTTTTTCCATACTACAAAAATAAAAAAATAGTTCCTTTTTAATGACAATTTTATTGATTAATTAGCCTAATAACAATGACTTTCTTTTTGAAATATCATATAAACAAACAGATACTGATAAACCCAGCTGAATCTGCTTAAAACTTTACATATTCCACCAATGAATAAGACAAAGCTGGTCAGTATTTATAATTATAACGTTTCACAAAAGAATCCAGCAGTCTCGAATTACTGACAGAACTACATCACTATGTCGTTTGGGTGGGCACACTAATTAGTGTCAAAGATTTGAATTTCTTGTTGCACCTGTGCATCGATGACAAATATCAAGGCCCCAGTTCCTCTGAAAATCATCTCGTAGTCAAAGGTTGGATCAAAAAAGTCCACTTGTCCAGGGAAGTCCCAGATCTGGAAGTTGACAAAGGAGCTGCTGGAGATGTCATCTTTATAGATCTTGTTGGTGCTCTCCAGAAACAGGGTCTCATTGGGGGACATCTTATGAAACACCACCTAATAAGGCAAAGACATTTGACACATTAAAAAGCATTCTCAAAGTGCCCAGTTTCACCTCCGGTGGGAGATTAATAAAGTCAGACAGTTGTGATATCAAACTAAAAGCCAAGTCACATGCTTCATGGACTTTGAGGAGCTTACTGGTGGCAAGACTTAAGTCTCAGAGGCTTCAAATTTTACATTCTTAAATTGTATAGGCATGCCAATCATAGGCATTTTAAAGATGCACTCAGTAAGTTTTTTTATTACATTTAGCTGACAATAATCATCCCAATAGTACCAATGGTTTTGGACTTAATGTTGACACCATGGATGTGAAATTATGGATGAAAAGTCAAAAAAAAAAATATTATACAATTATATAAGTTTTGAAAGGGTTTTCTGTTGTTTCAGTAGTGATAAATGTTAAATCACAAATTAAGGTGCTTACTTCATCTGTTGCCAAATAGACACTAATGTCACTTTGACAGAAAAATAACAACAACAACAACACATTGCTTACACACTTTTTTAGTTTTTTTTTTTACTGTGATCAAGTGGTACGTCAAGGAAGTTTCACGGTACAGCAGTTATGACTGTCATGTGTTCGTGTTCAGTGCTTGATGATGCAGCATTTATCTTCAACTGATGGCGAGGAAACTGCGGGGAGTCATGACTACAGACACCGACAGGAACTGCTTGTTTGTATGGTGTTTCTTGCTATACTGTTTGGTACTTTTATATTTATGTTTTCATTAAAACGCTATATCAGACAAACATAATATTACTATTGTTATTATCAGTAGTAGAATCTCAATCAATTACGTGACACAGTAGGTCATGTGACATCCCCATGGCAGCGCCCAAGAGGGGGCGACCCGCTCCATGTACAATAAAACAGCATTTTCTAGTAGACTGTGTAGTTTGCATCCCATGTGAATGCTCAGGATTTTAATAATCTGTCAAAAGCGCTGTTCACTACTTTTTGTACGTTTTTTTTATTAGCAAATATTAGGCCTACTAAGTGCATCTATAATGGCTATATTTCCTAGACCAACACAAGTAATACATGCGAGATGCACTTAACGCAATTTATACGAAATGAATACCCTGTTTATAAAGATGCGCAAAGACAGTAAAAGAAAACTGATCGTCCTCAAGAATTATAACTACTTCCAAATGTCAGAAAAGTGTCTTAGTCACCTATTTCTGTACGTATGATCTACATAATCTGTATTGAGATGGTGTGGTGAAGGATGAATATATGAATAAGCATTTCAGGTTTTGTAATGAAGAAATCACGTGCCACATCAAAGCCGGGTGAGTTATCACAATATTAACATGGCACGCACATAATGCTACATGTATCCTTCTTAGTCAACTGAATGAGTGTGATGTATTTTGGTCTGCATGTCATCCAACTCCATAAACTCCACCGCTGCTTGGTTGTAAGGGCTCTGAGTGGTGCTCTTGCCCGTGCCCAGTGACAGCTAGGCAGCAGCCCGGAGCGGCTCTGACCCGGTTCTAACTCGCTCGGCTAAGAAGTCAGCAGGGGAACGACCATATGGAAACGACAACCTAGACGCTCTAAATATCATCTCTTCCTCCTACCTTCTGGATAGAGGACTTTCCGCTCCTCCTCAATCCCATCAACAGGATTCTCGGTTTGCTGTCGGAGGAAGTGGGACTGTCCTCAATGTCCCCTTCTTCTTCTCCATATCCGAAATCTTTGGGAAACGAGTCCGCCACCCCGTAGCTGTCCGCCAGCGGTGCCTCGTACTGGATCGACATGTTAACCCCCGCCCCAACCCCTCTAAAATATAACCTGGCCGATTTTTAGTAATCCAACCAGCACGATATTAATGCTTGGCGAACAAACGTAAAACCTCGTTATCGTATAAATACATGAGAGCAAACTTCTTATGGATTCTCCTTTAAATCTTCAGTCTCTTGTGTTTCCCCTTCTGGGTGAAACGCCCACTTAAAATCGACACTCGAGTATAATTGGGTGGCCGCCCGGTAACTCGAATGCTGATTGGATAAATAAAGTGTCACTCTACTAAGCTATTCAAATGTGGGTGGGATCGTTGCAAGTCATGTGCCTGATGGTCACCTGACAAACAGATTTGTGTGAATGGGTGTTTTTTTCCGACCTGTCACCTGAAACGGTATTTCTTATCTTGAAATGCTGATAAAGATTTGTTGGTAAATGTTAAATGTTGTTTATGAATGTTCGTTTATAAATGTTCGTTAAATCCCATTTTCCAAGCTAAGTGGCACATAGCCTACATTTTGCTTTTTGGATATGAAACAACCTGTATGCCCTTTCTTTAAAAAAAATAAGGCAAATAAAAATAACAAATAAGTGAATAAATAAGTAACTAGTGGGAAAACTACAATGTTAAAATTGTTGGCTTGATCAATGTCAGACACCAAAGAGAAAGTTGCAAACAATAACATATTTATTTATTTGTTTAACTATATTTATTATTTAATACATTGGTTAATATACCATTTTAACATTATGCATGCCAATATGTTAGTTGTACATGTTATGACATACCACAGACATCTTTCAGATGGGTAAACTGGAATTAACACCGCTGGTAATTTGTTATGCTCTGGTCATATCTATTTACCATGTAAATATGTTCATATGACATCAAGACAGCAATTTAATTTGGACAACTATTTTTAGATTTTCAAAAGCTTTAATGTTGTTCAATGTAATAATGAAAGTTATGCCACACATAATTCATATGTGTACCAGTTAAACGACAGGCTGATTAAAGGTTAGGTCTTCAGACAATAACAACATTGACTGACCAATGTGTCACATGGCAGACTAAAGCCAATGTTCTTATTGTTTTACTAATGCATATGCACAGATGTACTGAAGACTCAGTCGGGTTACAAAACTGTTGCACTTTAGTTCAGTTTTTAGCAGCACAGGTCAATTAAATTGATAAAATATCAATTTAAAAGGTACATTTGATCAACGTAGTGTTGGGAAGACAATATTTTTGTGGTTAGGACACCACCAAATAAAGTATAAAGGATTGGATCTTAATTAAGACTTCTTGAAATGATAATAGCAAAAGCTTTCCATTCAAAAGTTGAATAGGAATGTAGAGCTGTCTGAAGAAACAGGTTCATCTGAACAACTGTTTGGAAGACAGATGGATTGTGTTTTGTTTGTTTTGTTATTCAACCATGCTTTCTTTTTCTAAAACAGCAAGGAAGTACAACCGATCTAGTTCCTAACACTAAAACTAGAGCAGCATTTCATTTCTAGTAATATCGCAAGTCGTAGTATAAAGTATATTTTGTGTGTGAGGACTCAAAATACATATCTATAGGCTTTATTCCAGTAGATTGTGCTGTTAGCACTTAAAATAGTCTGGTTTTGAGCTGTATAATTCACTGGACTGTGTTGTTAAAATAATAACAAATTTCAAATGGCTGTTTGCTCTATTAAAGCACAATGTATTTTAATTTAAATTTAATTTTTTTACCATTACATCATTTTGACTTCTGATGCAGGAAGCACTCAAAAAGAGAACAAGGTGTCCAGGTGAGAACAAGGCATACATAATCAAACGTAAAATCTCTCTAGTGTAGTCATACTACTATTGTTAATTCAATATACTTTCAGTGTGTCCTGCTAAATTGATATGTATGTAAAAAGAGAGCATAAACAATCCATTAAGGATTAAAAAGTTGAATATAAAACTTTAGTCTGAGATTAGAGTCATTTTACAGTCACTCTGGTCCTTTTCCATCACTATATAACTGTACAAATGACATGGCTACCATCAATAGTGAATGTACTGTATATAATGAAGTTTTCTCATATCTGTAAGTCTGTCGGAGCTGCTCGTCTGCTACTGGAACTGCTGGCCAATGAGGCGCGATGGCTTGGTGATGCTCGTGGACTATGCCGTGACTCAGAGCTAGATTCTTCTATTGAATCAGGAGAGGTGGGCCTGCTCATTTTGGAATCAGACCTGGATGAAGTACGCGCCCGCACAGCGGCGTAAGGACAGCGGGCCTTAGCTCCTTCCAGGGAATCCATGTCAGATCCATTACCTTCTACAACCGTTGAGCAGTTCCAGGGTGCACTGACCTTCCATGGCTTCTTTCCCATGCCGGATGATGTGTGAGAAGATTCCCTGGTGTGGCCCGATGAGTCTGAAGTCTTAGAATCCTGGCCTTTCTTGAGCAGAGGTGGAGGGTGGACAGAATCTTCCCCTTCGTCTTGTTTCGGCGGTGTGACGGAGTTGCAAGGAGGTGAACACGTATCACTGCTGGTGTTGTTGGAATTGCTGTTGTGCTTCGTGTGACTATTCTGCGAGTACTTTGGTGCATCAGAACCATCTTTAGCTGGCAAATCACCCTGAACAGGCAAGAAAGCAGAGGATGGGTTGATCAAAGGAGGGTAGGCGGTTCCATCAGGTGGTCTCTCAAGAAGAAGGTTGTATCCACAAGTTGCAGATGTAATGGTGGCCTTGTGGCCAGTGGAGGTGCCGATGCATGTCTGATGCACCATCAAATCTTTCTTCAGCTTGTTGGGATAGTAGCTGTCATCGAGATTGTCTCTCAGCTGTGGGTAGTAGTTCAAGATGACCTTTTTAAGCTTCTTGTAGCCCAGGTGCATGATCTCCAGGATGTTGAGAAACAATGAGATGGCAGCTATGCATTGCATGAACACCATGAAGACGCTTTTTTCAGTGGGTCGAGATACAAAGCAATCCACCGCATTCGGGCAGGGCTCCCGCTCACATTTGTAGAGCGGATTTAGTTGAAACCCATACAGAACATATTGTCCAGTCATGAAACCCACCTCTACGGCCGTGCGGGTGAGTATGTGAGCCACGTAGGTGCGCAGAAGAGACCCCCTCAACGGAGCTTTGTTCAGCTTCCCCTGGTCAATCTGCCGAAGCTCACGCTCTATTTTGCGTCGTATCTCCGCCATCTCTACATCTACGGTCTCGAGTTCACGTCTCAGTGCCAATTTTTTGCGCTGTCGTTCTTTTTCAAGGGCACGGAGGTGGTAGAGAGCATGGCCCATGTACACTAGCGAGGGTGAAGAAACAAAAATGACCTGCAGCACCCAGTAGCGGATGAGGGAAATGGGAAATGCCTTGTCATAGCACACATTGCGGCAACCAGGCTGCTCGGTGTTGCAGATAAAGTCAGCCTGTTCATCATTCCACACATCCTCCGCTGCCACCCCAAGCACCAGCATGCGGAAGATGAAGAGGATGGTCAGCCAAATCTTCCCCACAATGGTGGAGTGGATATGCACCTCTTCCAAAATCCCACCAAGAAAGTTCCAGTCTCCCATATTTACTCTGGCATTTTTGTGTCTGTTAAGAGAGGGATTAAGGAGCAAGAATCATGAAAATGGACTGGAGCTCTGCCAACACGTTCAACACTTTTGGTCGGAATGTGTCCTAAAGTAGCATTACTTGAAGACTTGACTACACTAGCTATATCCAAACAGAAATTGTCTTACTCATTTCACAGACTAAAGCAAAATAAAACTATTTTAACTCAAAGACAGACCAAAACTTTCAATAAACCTCATTCTTTTTAAACTTAAGAGACTTGATTTGCCATTGCAATTCTACATACCATCAAACCCTAAAATAGAAACATTTATGTTTGTATTTCATAATACCTTTAGCTAACAGTGTGTCACCATATGCAATCTAATTTAATGTCCCTTCTATATATTTTGTGTTTGTTAGTTGTCTTTCAATTGTATCCGAAAACCTCCAAAAAGAAAATAATTTAAAAATGTCCAAATATTTTAATATTAACATGCATTGAAAAAAAAGTACCAGACTATTAAATGATTTTACAGCATACGTCTTTCATCATTATTGTGACTTTTATTTTAAACTGACATTTTCCCAGAGCAAATATGAACATCTTGCAACCTAATATATTTATATAAATGCATAAACCATTGGAGACTTATTTCAAAACTAGGAAGAAATAACATAAGAAATAGACACAAAAATTGAATGCGAGACTGAAACTACTGATGCAAGAACACAAAGTCTCCATCACACGCATAAAAGTAGTAAGGTGTATGGTAAAACTCATTCATAAACACTTAAATCACCCCAACAAAATTCAGAGTAATGGTATAGATCAAAATGAGTTTTTTCAATGAAAGATTTTGTAAATGTTTACAAATGGTCCCAGGTGTATGGTATAATTATTCTTTTTTTATTATATATTTACAGTTTGAAAAGAGTGAAAATGCAGAAAGCTTATAATAATAATAATAATATATTTTTACTTTTATCTTTAACAAATTTTTAAAATTTAGACCTGAATTTAACAATCTAAAAAAAACTTTTTTTTTTCAATTATATAATTACAAACTTTTTAATTGATATCCGGTATAATTAGAGCAGTCTTAATACTATTCAAATTATTAAATAGTAAAAAAAAAAAAAACATGCAGTGCAACAAAATACAATCAATCAGTGCATTGCTGTGTCGACGTTCTAAGCATCTTGTTGTTAAAATTAATCATAGTTAAACTGTAAAACACCAACATACCTTAAACAAACAAGGAGAAATTTAACTCGAAAGCTACTCCAACGCCTACCTTTTAAGTGCAAAAAGCTAGACTCATGCCATACTGGTCATCGTTAAACGTTTCGACTAAACGCAAAACAAGCAGGTCTTATTGGTGCCAACTTATAGTCATGCAGGAGAAATCAATACGGTAACCGATGCTATGTACCTTACAGCAGTATGCGCAGACTGCCGGTGCTTGAAATCCCCGCGCACATCTGACGCAGCATATCACCTGAACTTTTGTGACCCCTTCTTTTCTCTCTGTTGGCACCAAAAGGAGGTTTCCGAATACGCACGGGTCTGTTGGCAAGCGCATTGCTTCTGTATGTCAGTATGTTCGTGCTCTTATGCACCCG